AGGCCAGACAACTTTCCTTAGATGGCCCATTTCCAGGGACGACTGGTTTAGTTTTTTTATGCTAAATATTCTTCTTTGTTTTGAGTCTCGGGTGGGGCACATGAAGTGATTTCTACTAGGCCCAAGGCCATCCATCCCAGCCTAGGCTTTGAACCTTTTTCTTTTCTCTTTTATTTGACCTCAGAAAAAGGCCTAACTTTTCAGGATCACTTTGCTACGCAAAAACAAAACCAATACCTTAGCTTTTCCTTGTGCTTGGTATGAGCTGTGGAAAGATAAAGAATGAGATTAAAAAAGGGTCTCTAATTTTACAACCTCAGTTCTTCTATTATGACATAATCATTGTACGAGAAGGGTCTAAGCTAAGCCTAGAAGATGTCTTTGGCTCAATAATAATCAAACAGTGTTTAAAGAGTTAACCCCATTAACTAGTTAGCCATCAGCCAAGAATTCGAACGTCCCATTTTTCCTCAAGTAAAAGCGACTTGCAGAATATGTCTGGTCAGTCTTTAATGTGCTGAAAGAGACAAACTAGCTTTAAACATGAAGTTAAACCGTGTACCATAATTAATGTTGTTAATGGTTCATTAAGGAAATTGTTCACGAGGACAAAAGGCAGTGGGAGCTGTAAGGAAAGTCATGGTTTCATGTCATCGAAACCTAAAAAAAACCTTTGTCAAGCTCTAAATAACCCTTTGCTGCTGGTCTGATAGTGGGGCGGCAAGTGAATCAGCAAAAGGAATGTACCCCCCCAAAAACATTCATCGATGACTCGATGTGCTGCCAAAACGAAACACTAACACAAAAAGTTTTGCTGGCTTTAACTATTAGGGGTTGGGGCACGCCTTCCCTACATTGTTCAACTTTCTTTTTGTTTTTGCCTCTCAACAAATCAACTATAAAGTGACATGAGCCACATTCTTCACCTTGGGAATTTTTCCTTACTCTCCTCCAAATTTTGTTATAGTTTATACTTTGCATACAGTGTTTGCACTGCTGTCCTCGATGGCTGATAGACATGCGAAACAGTACCCTAAATGCTAAAGAAAAAGCGGTGAAGATCGAAATGGAATCTAATGAAAACCTCCCAAGGAATAAATAAATAAGTGCTATTCTTTTTAGCACATAAAGAAGGGTAGTAGTTTGTTCATAATAAAAAGAGCTTATTTCACTTTGGTAAAGGTTTAGAACTATAGGGGAGATTTCTAATATTATTGCATTGATGATACTGACGGTGATGCCAATAAATGGAAGAAAATGATATATAAAATTAATTGGTGCATAATTCCATTGGAGGTGCTCAATAATAAGGATGATCATGATCTATATGAAAGGAAAAGAAAAAAAGAGAGGGAGATGGAGAAGGAATCAGGAAGGAAGGAAGGAAGCAGAGCAAGGTGGGTCCCCTTTCATCTTTGTCTTGTCTTTCTAACATAGTTAGCCAAGGAGTGGTTAGGATCCTGAACCATATGCATGTGCATGTTAACACTCACATGATCATCCATGTGAAGGGGAATGGAGAGAAGTAGAGGGAAGAACATGAAGGCTGAGACATGCCATGAACTGCACCATGAACCTAGCTAATTAGAAAGAAATTGTCTAGATTAATGTCCTTAACAGGCCCTACACACATACAAAAATATCAGCTTCCCCTTATGCAAATTTTAAAGGTTTTCATGCTCCAGAACTGGTTGAAAGCATTATTGGCCTTTTTCAGGGAGTAGGCCACCAACCTTTCCCTTAGCACTCCTGGAAAAAAAGTATATTGCCTTTTGGATTTTTACATGACTCACTTGATCCAACGCATCTAAAACAAAGATAAATACCGCATTAGGAAGACAATCTCAGCACACATAATTTTTGGGGTTTTTTTTTAAAAAAGTTTTTTTTGAAAAGCTTTAAAGGCCATATGATTGTCTCTTCCCCAACATTTCCACATGAGATTCTATACACCATGATTGGATACACCATGATTGGCTTTGACTACTTTTTCTTCTGAGGAAGATCTCACCTTTGACTCCTGAGTTCTCACCCTCCCTCTTTTTCACTAAGGTGTGCAATTCAAGGGAAGCCTTTTACAACGAGAGTTTGTACGACAAAAACGGTACTAATTTTTTTTTTTTTTACTAGGTTGATCAGAAGGAAGGAAGCACCCCACTTACACCAGACAAACTCTGTTATTTTCAACTCACAACTTGATTTTCAACATCAATCAATCACGAACAGGATTAATTGGCATCAACTCTTGATTAGATATCTTACAACAGAATTACATCCTGGTAAAATTATGTAACTTGTCTCGACATTTTTTTCCCATTTCTTAGTTGATTCGGGGGACAGCACTATCACCTCGTGACAAGTTCAAATTTCAAACAGGTTGGCAGGGCAATTTGTTGTTTTAACTGGTGCTAACTATACATGTAATATTCTTTAAGAACAAGAGCGCAAACAAGTTAGAAATGATTGAGAAATCAAGGGTGTAACAGATGAGATACCATTAGGATATTATTAGATTAGCTATTCATAAGAGCCAAACATAGCCTAATAATTTAAGGGTTCTTGACTTGATTGAATGATTATACAATTTATATATGTATGTGCAGCAAGAGGAGCTTGTTTGTTTCTTTTTTTTTTGGCTATATCTGAGAGATAAACCTAGAAAGCATGACTTGGGTGTTTCAAATCAAGGTACGTAGGGTACTCCACCCCTTTGGAGGGATACAGAAAAATCAGGGTAAAAACATGACTCTTATCAGCAATTGATCAGTTTATAATAAAGTGCAAGAGATCATTTCTTTGAAACCAGTTGCCAAAAGAATTTATATATATATATATATATATATATATATATATATATCAAAATCACTCTAGCAATAGCAGGCCATGGCTGTAACTGGTGGAGTTGCAGCATGTTTCTTGAGATAAGGAAAGTGGTAGGTCAGGTTAAAGATCAAGAGGCCAAAGGGTGGCAAAAGTTCAAACTCTTAATGATGGTAAACTCACTAACATGCCATGATTTAATCACCTTTGCTGAATCAAAAGTAAAACAATATAATGAGAGTAAACAACTTTATTTTTTGATGGTTGTGGGGAACAAAATCAATTTCCAAACAGGTGAACCATCATGAAGTTCCATTGATAGAGACTAGACACCAAAAACCAAAAAGCAAGCATTAATTTTATTACCACTTTATATACTTGAACATTAAGGTTACATAAACCATATATGCATGCAAATTAATCAAATGGCAAGAGGTTAAATTGCATAGGGAAGTTGTTTCTTTAACCAGGTAAGAATATCAGTTAAAGACAATTGCAAAACAGAAAGGAAAGAACTGAAAGGAAACAGGTTAATTAGGCCTGCAACATCTTCTTTACTTCCCCCAAATGTGCCAAAATGGTTTGTCTGTCTTATTAGACAGTAGCTGTTCAGCCATGGAAGTGCTGCCTAATTGGTAATTATGCTGTTTACTGAAAGAAGATCCGGACTACGAAATGAAAATGACTTTGAGTAAATTTTCAGCCATATTCTTAAAACGAAAGTACCTCATAAAAGGAATAAAATGTATATCATAGACAGGTCAAAGTTACCATATCTCCTGTTGAATATATCCCTGCAGAAACTAATATATTATTGGTAAAAAAGGGCCAGGTTGTTTACAGATTGTAAACAATATTGAAGCCAATCAAGATTTTAATCAATGTTTTTATTTAGTAAGGGATAAGATGTATATCCTAAGAGATGCTTTAGTTTCCTTATTCATGGGATTGCTTAAATTAGCTTACTTACCCAATTTAGAAAGTGAATGCTGCTATTTTTAGCTTACTGTTTTGATAAACTTAGAATAATGCTGGCAAGTGCTTGCCAGCTTACTTAATGTAGAAAGTGTGGGGAGGTGAATGGAAAAGAATTGCTTGTCTTGGTAAGTGTGGGCTTGGCTTTGACAGGCTCCGAAACTATGTCTGATGATCAGAATGCATAGGATAATTAACATGCCTTCTTGACCTGAAAATCATCAGAGAGAGAGAGGGGGGAGGGAAACGATGGGCCTACTAAAATCATTAGAACACCCACTCAATCACATTCAGTGTCCCTTTTCTTTAATCTTTAGCAGCAGCAATCCCCAACCAAAAGCCTGCTCTTGGTTGAAAAGGGACCTAAAAAAACCCTTTCAAACCAACAATCGAAACAAAAGTTGGTCATTTTTCAAACCATCCGTGATCCATCAACAAGGAATTTGATCAAATTAATTTTGTCTATTCCACTTTCCTGTGCATCCCAGGAACTATGAAAGCTCTTTGGTTTTATGGTTGTCTGTCAGAATGTCTAGTTCATATTATATCATGGTTTGTAATTAAAATTTTCCTATTCCTGAAGAACTGCCCTGAACTCAGTTAGGTTTGTTATCCAAATGTGCATAAGACATCAACCTGTTTAACTTCTTTGCTATGATTATTCCCTATCAGCTGTGACAGAAAGAAGCATCTGTCCTTTATAAGTTTTCTAACCCTTTATTCCGTATCAGTAAGTTCCTTTCATGATCATTGATTAATTCCCTGGAAGAAGTATCTTCTAAGTTCGAACTCTTCATGAGCAAATCATGTTAATGATTTCCTAAGTCCTCACCAACTCCAAAAGACTTAGTTAAGAGGACAAAAACAGAGATGTTTCCATCATTTTTACTTAAAACCGGTGAATTACACAACTTGTTAGAGAAAGAATAAAATTACTTTAAAAAAATGATCCGCCCATCACGCAAGTCAGTGTGATAGTGAAATAATTTGTTCGATGTTATATTTGAAAATAATAAAAGGACGATGGGTTTGTACTGTTGCTTTGAAAAGGACAAGCGTGACTTTGCCTAATTCTAGGCAGTTAGTTCCTGTGAATTGTGAAAATATGGCAATGCAAGTAAGGACTTTAGCAGCTTCACCTTGCAAAGCACAAGAGTGAAAATGGAAATTCCTACAAATTCAATTGGAAAGAAAGAGACAGAGCAGATGATAAATATCATAGTAAAATATATCATAACAGAGCTTACTGTACATTAAGCATATCATCCAATGGGGTCACCTGGTAGACACTAGGACCTAAAGAAAGAGGGTCTACAACACTTGGAAAATAGTATGTGGGTAGGTTGCGACTAAGAGAAGAATGGGTTAAAATTAGCAAATCAGTGCCATTAGCAGGGAAGAAAGTGCAAAGACCAACCAGCCTAAACTCTTCAAGGCTTGGTGTGACAGGGTTATCAAGCCTCAGCCCGAACGTTTTCAATGACTGGTGGAAAAAGAGAAAAGGGAAGAAAATAGAGAAATGAAGAAAGGGTGGTGCTTGATTTGACATCCTTGACACTAGACATTGCAAAGTTCAATGGAGCCATAGTCAAGCAGTTCCTCGATCATTTGTTCGATATGATCCTCTTCGAGAGGTTTGAACTGCTGGGTGCTTTCAACCTGAGCTTTCTTGACAACCCAATTGGCTTCTGTCTCTTGCGCTTGCAACGGTTTCTTTTCCAGCACTCGAACTCCAATTCCACTGTCTCTGCCTGCAATGCCATTGTTGCTGAAAACATGTGGAGTCGGCGCCTTGTTATGCGGCTCCTGCCCTGACTGCTGCTTGGTCAATTGAAGTGAAGCCATGTAGCATTTGTGTAGTTTAGCCGTCAAAGTTGCCGACAGAAGCTTGGATGAGGACGATTGAGGTGCATTTGGATTGTAAGGGAAGTTGGTTCTAGCCCTCGGTCCGCACATAAGCCTTGCAGCTTCATCGTAGGCACGGGCCGCGTCTTCCGCAGTCTCGAACGTGCCTAGCCAAATTCTAGTCTTCCTGCAACAAAACGAAAAAATCGTTTCACTTAGTACTCATAAGGGAAAAAGACAAAACATCCCTGACAGGCTGAAACCTCCATGGCTGTCCAAACTCAGGTTTAACTTACAAGAGGGGATGGCGAATTTCAGACACCCAAGATCCCCAATGCCTCTGTCGGACACCTCGATATCGTTGTTGTGGTCTGGCCATGTTAGTGAAAGAACAAAGAAACGTTTCCTTTGGGAAAAAACTTGCTTATGGAAAAAGCCTGAATGAGCAAATGAGGCAAGAGATTGATGATGCTAGGGAGGGAGGGAAGAGGGAAGAGGGAAGGGGGGCCTTTTGTAGTTGACAGACATATGAGGCAATTTACTGTCATCCAACTTGAGAAATTTATTTGGGTCCCACCAAGGCTTCAATGTTATTCCATCTTTCTTCTTTATCTATTTTGTTACAGTTGGCTAATTGCCCAAGTGATAGATAATTTTCAAACTTAGACCAAATTCAATTAATTCACATGGATATAATAATAGCTTTTCTTTCCAATAAAAAAAATAGTTGTGGGAAATGTTGAACTGTTGCTTTTATCACCCTTTTCTTCCCCATGAAAATCTAAGGTCACATTCCAATAGATTCTTCATGTGAATGGTCTTTTATAGTTCAGATAATGACTTCAGCAGAACCCACCAAGTTGCTCTATATAAAAACAGAGGATACAGACCCTTTTTCTGTTCTTCTGAACTATAAACAATCTTTGAACATATCATGAAATCATTTTTATTATGCAATTTTGTAATGAAAAAGTTTTGTTCTAGTGTGTTTGTTGGAACTAGTTGATAACCAAATCGGGTGTCATGTGGGAGTTTGAACACATTAAATTTTTATTTTCTTTTCATATATAATTGCAGAGCAAATTGTGTTCCTCAAGAAAAGATTCTGTGCATCAATTTGCACTGGAATGATTGGGTCAATCCGATGTTGAATGCATTGGATTGAAGAATCTTGGACTGCAATAATTACCATACCAATCCAAATGATTTGATAAAATCCCCATTCACTATTCTCAGATCAAATTTGCCCCCCAAGACTGTCATTCACCTGAGCTTTCATGCATAAACTCAGCCACAGAGGGTTTCTTTTTTGTATTTAATCCTCGACATAAACATCACTAACACGGTGATGATTCAACGGAAGGAAGATAGAATTTTCTATAAAGCAATGGTGGGCTACTTTACAAGTGGAATTTGCACCTTTTTCGTGTTCATGAAAATTCATATCTGATAGTGAAGTTGCACAAATTTTTAGCAAATATCTCAACAAAGGGTCCTAATTTCTGCACCCACTACATCTTTTTTCCCCTTATTTTCTCTATTTTTTTCTTCTCTAGGGGTTATGATCCACCAATCAATAAGCCTGGTATTTATTTTCATGAACAGCAGCAGAGATGTTACGTGGAAGGGTTGCTGCAAAATAGCGGCAAGTTTCAATGTATATGGAAAAAACCAAAATCATGTGTGTCTGAGATTGCTATGTCCCATGTGTTTCTGTTTAGCCACGTGCATGAAGCAAACCCTTCCATGCTTTAGGCTTGTCCTCTTTCTGCAACGTCCCTGCTCTCACTTTGGCAATCCACCATCGTGAGAATAGCAAATACTACAAAATCTTCTATATCTGAACTTGTCTGAAGATTAATTTGCCACTCTTTTTATTTTTTGTTCTTTTTTTTTTCCGCTTAGGTTTGGACCCTTTTTGCTTAATTGACGATGCCTTGACACTGAAGTTTCTTGACATTTATTCCTGACACCAACAAATAGAACAATATTCAATAGGAACGATTGTCCATAAATAAAGAATTTCTTTCAATAATTTGTTTACTTAAAACATAAAATATATATATATATATATACCTTTCCTTTTCTCAAAAGAAATTCATTAGAATCAACATTAAATATACTATACCTTAAGCTCTAAGAAAGCATGGGATCTCTATTTAAAAAATAAATAAAAAGCAAAGCCCAAGATTAATTTTATTGCAGATAAGTTACTTGACTTCTTGGAGTTTTTTTCCTATTTTCTGCTCTTCATGTTCTTGTATGTTGTTCTTTCTTTTCTTTTCCTTCTTTTGTGTGTGGTTATCATTAAAAAGCTTTGTTAATGCATGCCAACATACCAAGTGAAAGGCATGTGGCCGAGACACAGAGAGTTGCAAGCAGCGTAAGCCATCCTGGACTCCCTTCTTTCTCAGCTGCTATTTCTGACTATTTTTGCTTCCTTGATGAATCCGCATGACACAAAAAGACACAGCACCTTCATGACAATACGCCTGCTACCTAGCTTTATTTTCTAATTCCTTGGTTGTTTTATAGGATAATAAGACACACATCAAGCGAGATATTAAATGAAAACACTACATTTTTGTTTAACTTTTTGTTGACAAAAATGCAAGTTTAACCTATTAAATTAACCCTATATAGCCCTTTTCTATGAGTGCTACTGCTGTTAGCAGTACTATGAGTTTTTCAAAGCGTATAATAACCGTTGCAAGTTCTTTCACGGATGGAAACAAAGAGGGACAACCACAGCAGCAAACAGCATGTAATTCGACTAGAAAAAAACATTGAAAAAGTTGGTCTCACTCCTGGTTTACAGCTAACCATCGACTGATATAACTCAATATGGCTAGAGAAAGAGGGAGAGAGATGGGTCAAAAATGAAATCAGCCAAGACTGTAAGGATGAAGACAGATTGAAGAAAAGAAGAAAATCCCAAAAGAGAAGAGGAAGAGAGGACCCACGCTACAAACGCGTTAGGAATGGGACCCAAAAGCATAACATGGGTGATGAATGATGATGGAGATGGGTGTTGTAAATTATAAAACCTCCTCGAGGTTTCAAAGGCCCCCTTGGTCTATTTGTTCACAGGTTTCTTTTTTCTTTTTTTTTTTTATCTTCAAATCCTTACAACCTGATCACATGCACACACGGTCCCGTCCAGCAAATGAGGGAAAAACACAATAAAAAGTTAAGAGAAAGTGCAGGAATAAGAACATGGAATATCGCCATCATTTACCAACATTAACTTGTTTGCGTCATTGAGTTTTTCTTTTCCCTGCCCGCATACACACACATCGTCTTAGCTTGCATATACACATGAATACTTTTACCTTCCAGGCTTGTTCTCTTGGTAAGAAGCTTGCTTGGAAAGCAGGAGGCTTTTGCTTAGGCTTCCAACCCAATTACAATATCCTCATTCATTGATCCCTTCGTATAGATCTTTTCTACTAGTTTATGTTACATGATCTTTTCTACTCTTTTTTAAGGCTGTAATATCTTCACATAAACTGAAATGTTTTGAATGTATGGATATATTTATATAACACAAAGTTTTTCAACAATTATATATTTTAGTTTTGCTTAAGCATGCTCAGTCACAGCTACAGCTACAGCTACGATTGTAGAACCCAAAGAAGATTGGGCATGCTTTTTTATCTTTTCCTTTTCTTATTTTCTTTGGGTCTTTTTGGGATTAGTCAAAATCCCAACGGGAAAACGAATTAAATTGACAACTTAAATGCAGACATTGTTTAGCTTGACGCGGTTTCATCTGCGAGCAAGAAAAAGAGGGTGGGGAGAAATTTTAGGGAAGGTGATGTGATAGAATGTTGTGCAGATGGGGTAGCCCCGCAGTCTATGGGATTTGCCCAGCCTGGTCCTTTGAATTTTTTTGCAAGCTTAGACCGCTTTCCTCATCATTAGCAATGGCATGACAAAGATATCCCAAAGCCCTCCATGTGCATGTCTCTGTTTTGTCTTACCTCTACTTCAAATTTTGGTTCGTTTTGACTGAAACCAGAACTGACAATCAGCTTTGCAATCTCCCCAGTGGAAGTTTGTAAAAACATAAAAAAAATAATCAAAAATCCGTCGAAAATACGTTTTAATTTTGACAAACATTAATATAATTTATTTTCTCATAAATTCAACGCAAATTTATGAAAAACTTATCAATTTTTCATTAATAATACGTCCTCATAAATCGAAAAAAAAAATAGTAAAAAGTCAATAAATGAAGATTTATTCATGTAGTGATCCTTAACCTGAAAATACAATGAAGGTGGCTTAATGTAACAATTTGGGTCAAAATATACATATATAATTGTGTTGTATTGTCTATTATACTTTGATAGATATGAAAAGGAAAATAAAAAATTAGCTCCTAAATGGCTCCAAAAATATTGGTCAAGCTCAGGCACGTGCTTAGTAAACCGTGCAACAGTGCTAGATTGCAGGGATGATGAAGACGTTCATGTGGTTGGAACATTACATATGCATTAAATTAACTTCTTGAAATTAAGTTTATATGTTTGTGACTTTGACATCTTCCTTTTATATTCCTGCTAGAAAGCTAGCACTGCTTAGTATAATTAGGAAATAGGTCAAGGCCATGTGAATACAAACTTTTTATAAAATATATAAGAAAATTTTTATAAGTTTTCCCAACAAAATAAGCATCAAAAGTTTTTATTAGTGTAATTTTTCTACCTTTTCTCACGATTTTATGCACATTAATAATTTAGTTATTTAATACACGATTATATATCTGATTACACATTCGAAATAAGTTTGATAGAATCATTAATAAATATATGATCCGGATATAAAGTTCGTAGTTGAAAATTTTAATAAACCCCGTAATCACTAGTATTACGTGTAAATCAAAATTTGGGAAAAATTAAAATATTAAAGAAAAAATTCGAAATTATTCTTCAAAAAGCTGAAATTTCCTTTAATTGCAATCCGTTGTGGGCTTTGTGGTGTCTCTCGAGCAGCCATCAACCTTTCTAATGGGCTTTTAGCCCATCCTCTTTTAATGGGCTTGGAGGAATCCACTTCGCCGATTGGGCATTTGAAAATGAATCGTTGGAGTCCAAGGAGAGAGGTCCATTTTCTCTTTTTTTTTTTTATAATAATAATTTTAAAAAGGAAATAATAATTTTGTTATTTTTTTATAATAATATTTCTAAAAAGAAAAATGAACCAATAAAAAAAAGGAGGGGAAAAAATTGTTTGGATCTAGATCAAGTGTGTAGTAAAAGCTTGGAGGTTATATCTAGGAGCAATGAAAATTTGAATTTATTTTTTTAAACAATGAGAAATATACATTGTTCATTAAATTAAATGTTCGGATGCATTATAAATTTTAATTTTAATTTTTTATTTTTTAAATAAATTATAAGTGATAAAAATATTTTCAACAAATCAAATTTTCTTTGGTAATCCAAAAAACTTTTTAATTACATGCTTTTTGATTTCGAATTTAAGTACTGATGATATAATTGAAATTTAAAATGTCTTCTGATTATAAATTAAATTTGGGTTTAAGCTATTCATGCTTTCATCTTACATTATGCTAATAATTCATATAATTTAATCCATAAATGAATACATAAATGTTATTTTTATAAAATAAGCAAAACAAGTCCCATATTTTTTCCACTCTATTTCGCCCTTTTATTTTTTTTCATAAAGAAAAAAAATAAGGTTTATTAAGTCTTTCTCTTAATTTTTTGGTAAAATTTTATTTTTTCTATTTAAGGACTCTTAAATTTTATTTGGTTTAAAATTCATTTTAAAATCCTTTTATTAGTTATAAAAAAAGAATTTTAATCAGGGAAATATATTAATAGTTGGGTTTTCGGACAAATGGAGGCCCAAATGTAACCGACCCAAAATGGCCATTAACCCGGGTCTCTTTCCACATCGGATATAAATGGCCCATTTTCCATTTCCATGTCCCTAGGGTTTTCTTTTCTTCCAAACAGGTTTTTTCGCTCCTCGGTCCAAACACAGCAGCAGCCGATCGAAAATGGTACTGAATATTTTATTTGATCGTGTTTTTATCTCTGCCGATGAATTAATTAGTTCGTTTGCGTACTGAATATTCCATTCGATCGTGTTGAAATTTAATCGTTGAATTAATCTGATATTGATTTGATGAATTGAAATTGAACAGCCGTCGCACAAGACTTTCATAATAAAGAAGAAGCTCGCCAAGAAGATGAGGCAAAACAGGCCCATCCCTCACTGGATTCGGATGCGCACCGACAACACCATCAGGTTTTTCTTTTTTTTCATTTTTACTCTCGCTAATTACAGTATTTTCTTTAATTTTTTAAATTATTTTTATCGTTTTTTTTTTGGTCAGGTATAATGCAAAGCGCAGGCACTGGCGTCGTACAAAGCTCGGATTCTGAGGTTCTCGAGGTTCTCGGTTGCTGTTTTGTGTCTCTTACCTTGTTTTTTGAACTAATTTAGGTTGTTTAGTTTGCTGTTGAAGACAATGATGATACAGAGCTTATGGTTTTGTGTTTAAATTAAGTATTGTAGTTTCTGTAAGGAACTCATGTAAGTTCTTTTTAAAGAGCTTTTCTTTTGCATTCAAGTTTTGTTTCAGTTATTTGAAATCATGGGTTAGTCTTTGTTTACTTTACTCTGCTGGCTTTATTTATGTGATGATTAAGTATAATTTTGGTTGCTTGTTTCATATCCTTTAACAATGACATCGAGAAGAGTGATTGACATATACCAGTTGACAGTGCTTATCGTGTTCTTGAAGCTCTAATTGAAATTACAACTTGTTAGTAGGGTATATAGCACGTTTATTTCTTTAAGTGATTTGAACGATCAGGGGTTTGATTTTGAGTATCATTTGAGTTGTCTTTTGGATTAGTTGTACCTTGTATGATATTGCCCAAGAAGTTATGTAATAGCTGTCTGATCAGATCATATTTCTTGTTGTGGTGCATTATTTCCTGAATTATTTGAGTTTTGATAGAGAAGAAGACATTTGATGAGCATTATGTTTTCGCGAGAAGTTAGCTTTTACAAACTTTGACTGAAGGAGACCTTAGAATAGTTTGCGCAAGTACACTGGCCACCCAATTAGTTTTGTCAACATATGTGTATGTGAAACTAAGGTGCCGTGTGCTCTATTTGGCTTTCTAAATGCATATATTAGTGTCATCTTCTCCCAATTGATTTTTGAATTATGCTTGGATAAATGTTTGTGCATATTTCTTCTCTAGAATGGAAGAAAATATAACTCATGTCAAAGTGTGTGTGTTTTTTTTTCACTTTTTCACCGTGAACGAAAGAATTCTGTATTATTTTAATATCTATGAGCATTGAGTGTTGAAAGCAACTAATCATGGCTGGAATTGCTTTCTTTCTCTACGCTCAATTACCTGATAAAGTTGCCCTCAGGTTTGGTTTTGGGAAGGAGTATTGGCTTGTGTGGCAAATAGTCAGTGAAATGAGAACTGCCCTGCCATCCTGTGTAAGTTGATTCAAAGACTCAAAAATCAAAAATAAAGAATCAATGGCCAATGAAGGTTGGAGTAATTTGTTCGGGCTTTTCTTTTATCATGTTCTAGGTTGATCTGTTTTGAGTTAATGAAATGACGCATGGTTGAGTTTGCCTTGTTTGTTAACCACTGGTAGTGTTAAGCTTAATTTCTCTATAACATGTTGTCATTGGGAATCATTGTCGAATTAAGTTGGACAACTCTTCTCCCTACTCAAAGTTGGACCAAGGTATGAATGTCACCTGCATCCAAAGGTGGGGCAGAGACAAGTCTTTGAAGTTTTAAGTTTGAAGTCTATATTTATTCATTACGTGAGCATTAATATTCAGTTGCAATAGAACATGTAAGAAATCAATATGATCTCTCGTGTTGACCCAAATTACGACTGAGACAGAGCTTGCTTTCCATGTAAATCAAGGGCCGCGTCCATTGCAATCCCTTCTCAACCTGAAGAGACTTTAGTCATAGACGATGAAACAGAGGCTCACCCAAATATTCTGGAAAAGCAAGGGGAATATTCGGTACCAGTTTATATTAAGAGGACAATTGTTGTGCCTAGAAATGGCAGAGGCTAAGACACGAATTAAATTATAAAATTTAATATAAAATTAAATTTTATTTATTTAATTAGAAATTTGACTCGAAACGATTTAATAATAAAAAATGAAATTAATTATTATTATTTATTTTATTAGTAGGTATTAGCTTAATAAAATAAGATATGCTTACTTATCTGCGGACAAGTGGCAATTGACTACACTTTTTAAATTCTACCACAACGTTTTACGTAATGACCATTTTACCCGTCAACAATCTCGCTAATCACACAACACACAGTCTCTCAGGCATCGCCATGTCGATACCGACGGTGTTTCACAGTTTTCATTATGTCTTTTAGCTTTTTTTAAAAAAAAAAGAAACATAAAATCCGAGTTGACATAACCGAGATCACTACCAAGTACCAAGCTTTCTCTTGGGATTCATCGCCTCTTTTGCCTCTCCAAGTGAGCTCCTTTCTTCTCGTTTTCATTTCCAAATTTGTTTCATTGAATCCAGGATTAGATGACTGTCACCCTTGTCTTCTTTGCTCTATCAGTGTAATCACATTTATTACGGTTTTGGTATTGATCAAATACTTTTGCAGAGCGATTTCTGATTCCAGATGGCTTCGTCGGTGCTCTCTTTGGCCTCTGCGTCGCCCTCTGCCTCACTTTCTTATCGTGGAATTAGCAAGGTAATTCTAATCCATCCCTTTTTTAAAAATTCGGTCTTTTTTCTTTCTTTTTATTTTAGTTTCTGAGAAATGAAAAGGTGTTTACGACAGGGAAAGTTGAATCTTGGAAATACCAGCTTGTGCTTTAACAAGGAGAAGACGAACCCCTTCATCAAAACGAAGGTACTTCTTTCTATAAATTTTCTTTATTATTTTCTGTTCCATTCATGATTGAAGATATTTATAATTCCCAGTTGTCTAGTTCTTTTAAAAGGTTTGTGTCTGAGTTTCTTTTTGTTGTTTGCAGTCTTTTGGTCGCATATCTATGGTTGTCGCTTCCAATGTGTCTCGTTTTGAGGGTATAACAATGGCTCCTCCTGATCCAATTCTTGGGGTTTCTGAAGCGTTTAAAGCAGACAACCATGAGTTGAAGCTCAACCTTGGAGTTGGGGCATATCGAACTGAGGAGCTACAGCCCTATGTGCTTAATGTGGTTAAAAAGGTTAGACTTCTTTCCTAAACCAGTTGGTGCAAGTTTCATGAGTGATGGCCTGCTCTAGGTTCTCCATCGACATAGCTTTTAATTTGCTTTGCTTCTTGCTGCCAAGACTGAATATTCATTTGTTGTAAAATTAAATTGAGTTGATATTAATATTATTTTGGTGTCACTCAAATTTCTAGGCTGATAAGCTTCTACTAGAGAGGGGGGAAAACCGAGAGGTAAGTTGATATACTAATTTGCATACATAACCAGAGGTCGCTCTTCTCCATTAAGTGTACTCACTATAGTTTAATTTCGAATGTAGTATCTCCCAATTGAAGGCTTGGCCGCTTTCAATAAGGTGACGGCAGAGTTGTTATTTGGAGCAGACAACCCAGTTATAAAGCAACAAAGAGTATGTGAGAATTTAGGCTATTATGTCATAACAAAAAAAAAAAGATCTATTTTACCTCTATATGATGAGGTTTTGCAGGAAAAATTGGATTGGAAAAGAAGGAAATTTGTTTCTTGTTAATTTATGTATTTGACTTTTTCCAGGTTGCAACAGTTCAAGGGCTTTCAGGAACTGGTTCACTTCGACTGGCTGCAGCTCTTATAGAACGATACTTTCCTGGGGCAAAAGTTCTGATATCATCTCCCACTTGGGGTGAGTACTGTCTTCCTCTTAAAGTTTGTTGTGAAATTTGTTCAATATTATGTATTGTTGTAGTTAACGAAACTCTCTTACAGGTAACCACAAGAACATTTTCAATGATGCTAGGGTTCCATGGTCAGAATACCGATACTATGACCCAAAAACAGTTGGCTTGGATTTTGAAGGGATGATCGCAGACATCAAGGTCATCTTCTGGCTAAAAATGCTAACTAGAATAAATATCAATGTGAAACAAGTCAATTATTTATCTTTCATCTCTCTTTTTAAAGACTTTATTCTTCAATCACACTTTGCAGGCAGCTCCCGAGGGATCTTTTATTCTTCTTCATGGTTGTGCTCACAACCCTACTGGTATTGATCCAACCCCTGAACAGTGGGGAATAATTGCGGATGTCATCCAAGAGAAGAACCATATTCCATTTTTTGATATTGCATACCAGGTATTAGTTGTTTGAATTCTGGATATGAATCTTGGTTTCAGGTGGTCTGAAATTGCAGCATGTTATAGAATTTAGACAAAGTTGACATTTAAGTGAGATCTCCTTGATTTACTTTTGGTGATAGGGATTTGCAAGTGGAAGCCTTGATACTGATGCAGCATCTGTGAGGATGTTTGTGGCCTGTGGTATGGAGGTTATCGCTGCTCAGTCATACAGCAAAAATCTTGGCCTCTATGCAGAAAGGATTGGAGCAATTAATGTTGTCTGCTCATCACCAGATGCTGCTGCAAGGTACAATTGTGTTTAATGTTGTGGTATGTGATTTAGTTAGCCTTTTCCTAAATTAAGCTACCAACTAGAAGTGCATGGAAATGCACTATAGACCATGTAGCAAGGTTTCTATTATTTTCTGTAATTTTGCCATGTGAGATTCTCTTCCTTGTAGATACATGCTGGAAAATATTCTTTTAGTATGCCATGTCTGTGTAAATCCTTGAGAGTGATGGATCCCAGCATCCTTGTAATCAACGTCTTAGGCTCTTATCTATAAGATTGCCCTTAAGTTTTAAATATGGAGTCATACGTGGTACCCTTTGTTTCATGATGGACAGCGCGCCCTGTTCTCTTCATATCATTTTATAAAAGAATTGATGGTTGTGTTCACTTTTGCATCTGAAAATCTGTTGGCAAAGTTATACCATTGAAATATTTTTATGAGACCAGCTGCTGATTAGGAGTATGTCTTTTCGCATCATAGGTTCCTTGACCATGTGCCCCGATGAAGTTTGATTCAAATGAGTTACATCTAATGCATAATGTAGTTCTGGTTTCTAGTCCCTGTGGCCTGATATATTGCTTAAGGACCAGCTTATATTGTACGTCTGTTTCAGGGTGAAGAGCCAACTAAAAAGAATTGCCCGACCAATGTACTCAAATCCTCCTGTTCATGGGGCTAGGATTGTTGCCAATGTTGTTGGGGATCCAGCCCTCTTCAAGGAATGGAATGCAGAGATGGAAATGATGGCTGGGAGAATAAAGAATGTGAGACAGAAATTATTTGATAGTCTTTCTTCCAAAGATACAAGTGGGAAGGATTGGTCATTTGTTCTTAAGCAGATTGGCATGTTCTCATTCACAGGCTTAAACAAAGCTCAGGTATTAGCCTGCTCCCACCTTCTTCATTTGCTTGACTTACAAACGTTATCCTACATTACTGGGTCGGTTTTCTTTCCACTGAATCACCCTCATGTGGGGAAAGGTAGTTCTGAATTATGGACATTTTCAACTGCAAAAAGTTACTGAATAAGAACATATAGTTCTTTTTCTCCTCTGCCTTGTTCCCTTGCAATTCTGTTCCATACCTTGAAATTTTGCCCAATCAGAAATAGTTTAGGCATCAACTCATATTTGCTCACCATGGGAATGTCGTCTGCATCGTAACTGGAAATTGTTGGAGTCTTCTACACTGCACTGTGTATGATCGTTAAATACAGCAATGCGTGGCACCATACTTTTTACTTATAATATCATGTTTATTGTTTGGTTTTCTTAACAGTGTGATAATATGACGAACAAGTGGCATGTCTATATGACCAAGGACGGGAGAATATCCCTTGCAGGATTATCTTTGGCCAAGTGTGAATACCTTGCAGACGCCATCATCGATTCATACCACAATGTCAGTTAAAATCAAAAGGAATATTGAGATACATATTAGAAGTTGATAGCTGGAAAAATTTTGTTGAGTTAAGCAAAACAGTAACTGAGGTGATTTTATTGAACGAAGATGTTGTAATAATGTATGTTAACTGAGTATTAATAACTCTTATATCTGGAGTTCTGATTGACGCAATTTGCTGCCTCTCTATTTATTGGAATTGAATGTGGGATTGAATGTGGGAAGTTCTATTAAGTATTATTATAAGGTTGTCTCCCATAATCAATATTCGGTATCAGACCCTAATGAAGACACTATTGAGCAGATTTAGGCTTATATTGTTAAGTTCCTGTGATGATAGGGATATGTGAGCAAGTCTCAGGTCCTGCAACTAAACTGTCAATGTCCCTCCAAGCTCCATGGGAGCAAGAGGGATAAGTGAGTGCAAAGCATCGGTTGTCTAGGGGCAATAGGTTGGTTTTTCTTGCACTATAAGCTAATGTAACAGATGTTGCGTTAATAAATTTTTTGAGTTAAAAATATAAATTCGTGATAGTGATATTAATGATACTAGAATTGATTCAATTTTTCACTGATACGAGACTGCTCATAATAAATATTGAGATTAAAATAAACTTAAATTAAGATACGATTTCTCTTTTAAATAGGTGAAAAAATTCGTACTTTCAGTTGTCTTTTTCACAAGTGAAAGAATCCATTGTTGACCCTTTCACAGGTGAGAGAATCCATTGGATCAAACCAAATTGCCATCCCAGAAATTAAAAACAAAAGGCATTTTGTTCTCATTTTGTACTAGTAGTTAATGTCTACCAACCTGGTGTAAGTGGTTCACATCCATGGTAGCTCTGGTCACGGGATCCACGATGCTTGGCATTACATCTCCTATAGTTAGCAGATAATCTACCCAAGGAATTGTGTCTACCCAAGAATGGTGATAATGCAAGCCCATTTTCAGCTTCTTCAACCAAAAAAAGAACAAAAGAAATCAACACCTTTAGACCATATTCACAAAAAGAAGGTGAAAGGGTAACTAAGCTCTTGTCATCCTGCTTGACTGATTTGTGTGACTTCTTCCTAAGAAAAATCCACAAGCAACACGAAGACAATACGATTGCAGCCAATTAAAAGCAAACAACCCTCAGTGCTGCTGTTAACATTTTCTTGCCTGGATCCATTTCTTTTATTCCTATGAAAAAAGAGCAGTCAGCATTTGATAGAAACAAAGACTGTGCGGTGCTCCCGGAGAACAAGCAGCCATTGAAGTACAGATGGGGTATAACAAGAATTTGGTCCATAATGGGATTGTTTTGGGAGCTCAACTGAAAAGTTTCTGGACTATTACAAAAAATCAGTCTAGATTTTTTTTGTTTTTTCTTGGGGTTGGCTTTGACAACAGCTGTCCTATTGATTGCTGTTGTATTTCTTCCCAGGGTGACAAAACAACATGCATCATTTTTAGCCACATTAGATCTTTTTTTTTTGTCCCTTTTTTTAAATGTTTGCATTGATGACAGCATAGGAAGAATTAAAATGCTTGTATAAAGCATCTCAATTATGGTGCAATTTACAAAACTTTATATGAACAATCAGATAATCTTCTCCTCTCGCCCAACCGACCACTCTTCAGACTTCACCGCGAAGGTATGAATTATCATCAAGAAAATTTTTGCATGTAATTGAGCAATGGAAACTGATGTGGATGTATGATTCAGTCGGTGCAAAACCCAAGATTAATCACATGGCAGCACAGCAGAACAACGATCTTGATTTCGAGACATGTCAAGGCACAGGAGGTAGATTGTAAGGGTCAAGGGTCTCCGGGTTGTTTTATTCTTAGGGTCCCTCCAAGCTCCATAGGAACAAGTGGGATAAGCGAGTGCAGAACATCAGTTATCAATGGACGATAGCTTGGTTCTGGTTGCACACATAGCACCGCTACAGCAGCAACCTGCACCATTACATTTCCACTTTGCATTTATCAAAACAATAATACTAGTGTAAGCATGCACATTAGGCAATGGCTAGTGACCCCAAGCTACTACCCTTGATTCAGACTTAAGACATTGAATTCCTATCCCCAAATTGATCCCAGACCAGCCAAATGAAGTCTTGCTTGCGCAAAATATGTCTAAACAAACCAAATCAGTTTCCAAAAGTAAATAAATGTGTTATCAGCCTCACTTATTCCTACCTAACCTACCAGTGAGACTTCTGTGACAGAAAGATAAGAAATTTAGTTGGTTCAGTCCAAGTCAATTAGGATTTTGGATCAAATTATGTTTCCCGCCAAGAAAGTAATAACACTCCCAAGTGGATTTTTTCACTAGTAGCTTACCAACCTGATATAAGTGCTTCAGATCCATGGTATGTCTTATCACAGGATCCACGATGTTTGGGAGTTTAGATCTGTCAGTAAGCTGAGGCATGGCCTGCATTCATAATTAGAGCTATATGGCATTAAATTCTATAACATTCTATCTTTTTTTTCACATGAACTAACATAAGAGCAAGGCATACCCATGTGACAATAGATTGGCACTGAGCTGGTGCCAGTTTCTCTACAGGCTTTCTTCCCAATAGAAGTTCCAGCAGCACAACACCAAAAGCATAGACATCACTCTTATCTGTTAATTTACCTGGAAAAAGCAGGTAACAGATTTAAGTTTCTTATGAAGAATAGTAGACCCCCATTTTCAGAGAAATTGCAGCACTTCTCATATAATTCATACTTTGGACCTCTTCTGTCTCTCAGGATGGAAAACAAAATTGTTTACACTTATGTGAAGCCAACTTTAGAATAAGAGCGAACACAGCATAATTTAGTCCAGATACCTTCCAGTGGCAGCACATGTGCAGAAAGAGTAACTAATCGTATAACATATATTTATTGAGATCAGAACATGTAAAACATTATTGAAGTCTCGAGGATCCAGGAGAACTTTTTTATTAACTCCTAAAGAAGGAAGAGAAACTATACAATAATGTGAATAACAACCTACCAAAAATTGATTGTAGCAATTATAGCAGATTCAGTGTGCATACCATCTAACAGGTATTCGGGGGCTACATAACCTAAAGTGCCCGAAAGCTTCAAATTATTCTTGTTTTGGGCTGCATCTGTTACTGCAAGACCAAAATCTGAGAGCTGTATCCAGACAAAAAAAATGAGAGAAAATGAGCCTTCACTAAACTTAGCAGCACTAGTACAAACACACTAAAGTTTTAACACTAACAAAAGTAGGTGATCTAATAATTTACATTATTACCTTTGCATTGAAGTCTGAATCCAAAAGTATATTAGATGATTTCAGATCTCTATGGATGACTGGTGGGTTGCAGTGCTCATGCAGATATTCTAATCCTCTGGTCAACAATGGAGATTTATTTAATGTTTCCATTAACTAATAGCAATAAGTAAAATCAAACAAAGCCTCACCTTGCAGTATCCAGAGCAATCTTCATCCTCCTCTGCCAAGTTAACGACGATCCATGAGAAGGTCCTAAAATATAATTAAAAGTTTCCACAAAGAAAATTATTGCATTTTCCCCTCCATTGCCAGAGAATATATCTTTCATTTCTTAAGTTGTTTATGAGAGACACAGAGAAAGAGAGAGAAAGAGGGTTCTTACCATGTAGTTGAGTTTCCAGAGAACCATTTTGCATCAGTTCATACACGATAAACCTTGTCTCATTGTCACTGCTATAACCTAACAGTGAAATTATATTTGAATGCTTAAATTTACAAAGCAAATCCACCTCATTCTGCAATTCCATGTAACAACTCAAAATCAAAATTGAAATCCCAGAAAACACATAAAATGAGCTTATCAAACTTTAAAAAGTAAAGGAAGATGAATTTCCCGCAGAAATAATACCTCAAATTCTTTTTCTGCATCATGGCTTGCACAGTCCAACTTCTTAACAGCAGCATAAGAACCATCATCGAACTGTGCCTTGTAAACACATCCAAATCCACCCTCACCCAAAATATTACCTTGATGAAACTTGCTTGTAGCTTTTTCAAGTATCTTATAATCCATAAACGAAGCATCACCCTCCTTGGAAACCGTCCTGATGGACTTGAATTTACCAAAAAATGGTGCCAAACGAATCCCTTTCTCAGCATCTTCGAATTTAAAATCACAGAAAACAGGGGAAACAAAGATAAAAAACATCAGTTCTTACGTGAACTCTCAAAATTCCAGGAAACCATGAAGAAAATCTGAATCGGGTATTGGCTCAAAAGAAGATACCTGAGCTCTTAGCATCATTTTTCTTAGATTTGGGTGAATTCTTCCTGTAATAAATCCATAAACAACACAACGAAGAGATGATTGCACCCAAGGAAGAGCATGCAAGGATGAGAGCTATTAACATTTTCCTGGGTGGATCCATTTTTTTGTGCTCCTCGCTTCCCACTTGAATTCCTGCTATTGCTGTAACCACTTCATAGAGTTAAAAGTACAACCTTTTTCTAGTAGAACAAAAGAAAAATGCTTTCAGCTTTTAGAAATCTGAGGAAATAAAGTAATTTGAGAATTAAACAGAGAGATAAACAGGGGAACATCTTCATCATTAAAACAAAGTTTAAAAATCATAACAAAAAAAAGATTGCTATTAACTGGGATATCGATTGCCTTGAAGCAAAACAATTCTGTTCTCATTTCAAAACATTAAATGCACCGAAATATGTGGTTGTTTTTTCAAAATTTGAATCTTCTTTTCTTTAAATAGGAAAGTTTAAATTTTGGACTGACATAAGAGTCTTACGTCTAACCAGATACAAACAAATGTGATTAAGTTTGCCACTGGTAAACAGGGTAGTGGAAAAAACAAAAGAAAAAGGGCAACGGGCTGTTGCAGAAGCAAATGAGTAAAACAAAGTAGTAGAACCTGGAGAGAAGGCAGTCATTGAATCAGAGATAGGACTAGAAATGGGTGATGAAACAGGAGATACGGCAACAACAATAATGGTTTCATGAATAGAAACAAGTGAAAAAAGGAAAAG